CTGATTCTTATCCAGCCAACTGATGATTTCATTACACTTGTCTAGAATCTTCTGTTTGTCCTCATCATTGATCTTGCCTTGAAGTTTCTCGTCTTCAACTGTTGCTTTCATGTTGAAAGCATAGGACTCCAGTGAATTCTTGGAGGAAACCTTATGTCTCTGCTTCTCATCTTCAGCTTTGTACTTCTCAGCTTCCTGGACAATGTGTTCAATATCCTCCTTGCTCAAGCGGCCTGTTAAGTCACAAAATCATAAGTCATAAACTAAAATCAAACTAAAAAGTCATAATACTTGTAAGACGAAGCCACATCAGACGAGAGTTATGTCCATACTTACCCTTGTCGTTGGTGATAGTGATCTTGTTCTCCTTGCCTGTGCTCTTATCTACAGCAGAGACATTGAGGATGCCATTGGCATCAATGTCAAAAGTAACTTCAATCTGAGGAACACCACGGGGTGCTGGAGGGATGCCTGTAAGTTCAAACTTTCCAAGCAGGTTGTTATCCTTGGTCATGGCCCTTTCGCCTTCATAGACCTTGAAGGAAAACAGAAATAAGACATCAGACTTAGAAAAACAGTTCTGTAGAATTTAAGCTCAATTAGGGGAAAGAATTCAGTCGCTCAGACATCCAAGGAAGGAACTAGCCAACACAGAATTTCTGGTGGAAACTACGAATGGTTTAGGAATCCATCATCACAGCGAGACTTCATTCCCTGGGATTTCTAGAAAATCAAACAAAATTCTAAAATACCTGAATGAGCACACCAGGCTGATTGTCAGAATAGGTAGTGAAAGTCTGCGTCTGCTTGGTAGGGATGGTGGTATTGCGCTTGATGAGGACAGTCATGACTCCACCAGCAGTTTCAATGCCAAGGGAAAGAGGAGTGACATCCAAGAGCAACAAATCCTGAACATTCTCAGACTTGTCTCCAGATAGAATGGCCGCCTGGACAGCTGTAAAAGTGGAAGAAATGTTAGAAAACTCACCACCCAAGTCCAACCACACTTCAATGCAGTTCAGTCGCTCAGACATCCAAGGAAGGAACTAGCCAACACAGCATTTCTGGTGGAAACTACGAATGGTTTTGGAATCCATCATCATAGCGATTTAGGACACTCTTTAAAGAGGGACTTGCTAGGACTGTAAAGACAACTATGTAGTGGTCTTACCTGCACCATAAGCAACAGCTTCATCGGGGTTAATGCTCTTATTCAGTTCTTTTCCATTGAAGAAGTCTTGCAGAAGCTTCTGAATCTTGGGGATTCTGGTGGAACCACCCACCAAGACAATGTCATGGATCTGTGACTTGTCTAGTTTAGCATCTCGAAGGGCCTTCTCTACAGGGTCCAGAGTGCCTCGGAACAGGTCAGCATTCAATTCTTCGAATCGAGCACGGGTAATGGAGGTATAGAAATCAATTCCCTCATAGAGAGAATCAATCTCAATACTGGCCTGGGTGCTGGAGGAGAGGGTGCGCTTTGCCCGTTCACAGGCAGTACGCAGACGCCTGACAGCTCTCTTGTTCTCGCTGATGTCCTTCTTGTGCTTTCGCTTAAACTCAGCAATGAAATGGTTGACCATTCTGTTATCAAAGTCTTCTCCACCCAAGTGGGTGTCTCCAGCTGTTGATTTGACTTCAAAAATTCCATCCTCAATAGTGAGGATAGACACATCAAAAGTACCACCTCCCAAGTCAAAAATGAGCACATTCCTTTCAGCTCCAACCTGTCAATGAAAGAAAAACTTTTAGCTCACATCTCTGGTGTGCAAATTAATCTTAAGCAAAACATGTGCTTGAAACACATACCTTCTTATCTAGCCCATAAGCAATAGCAGCAGCAGTTGGTTCATTGATAATTCGCAGGACATTCAGGCCAGCAATAGTTCCAGCATCTTTTGTAGCCTGTCGCTGAGAATCATTGAAGTAGGCTGGCACTGTGACCACAGCATTGGTAACAGTCTAGAAAATACAATCACACAATTGTTACCTTAGCAAATTGCGCGCTGAACAGAAGAATGCTTGAATAGCCACCCCATATTGACAGCAGTTAAAACCCACCTTCCCGAGATAGGCTTCTGCAATTTCCTTCATCTTGGTCAGAACCATAGAGGACACCTCCTCTGGGTAGAAACTTTTTGCCTCTCCTTTGTATTCTACTTGGACCTTGGGCCTGCCTGCATCGTTCACCACCATGAAGGGCCAGTGCTTCATATCAGACTGAACAACAGCATCATCAAACCTACGTCCGATCAGACGTTTGGCATCTGCAAAATAAGTGTGTATCTCATTAAACTCCACCAATTAAATCCGAGGCTGAGAGTTGTGAAGTAAATTGTACACTAAAGGGAGTGGTCCCTACCAAAAACGAGGGCCGGAAGGAAAAGCGGACATACGGGCTAGGCGAGGCTAAGCTCCGGGTCAGGAAAGGAGTGGCCCGTATTTAATACCAAAAATACTGCCCGGGTTTTATCAGTTACGTTACTTCTCTTAAACTACAGTAATCTAGAGAGCTTCTATCCCACGTAAAAGCTGGCTACTTACCAAAAACTGTGTTGGTGGGGTTCATTGCAACCTGATTCTTCGCGGCATCCCCAATTAATCGTTCTGTGTCAGTAAAAGCAACATAGCTTGGCGTGGTTCGGTTACCCTGGTCATTGGCAATTATCTCCACCTTTCCATGCTGGAAGACACCCACACAGGAGTAGGTGGTGCCAAGATCAATACCAACTGCAGGTCCCTTAGACATGGTTGCTGAAAGAAAACCAAACACGAAAACGGCTAAGCAGCTATTCCCCAGCTTCCAGACCCGCAATCCGTATGTACTCATCAGCCCAGACCTATCACCTGAGGCCACGCAAAAGGCTCAGGGCGGCACTGCTGCAGTCCGGTAGCCGTGCCAACCCTGGCAGAGCCCGCCCCTGGCTGAAGAACCATCTGTCCTGACGGTCTGCGACAATGGTTGAGCACGTGGCCTCAACTCGGAGAACCCACCCCCCCCCCCCTCCCAGCCGCCAGGACCCCGCATTGCGGCGCCAGACTCGCCTGCTGAAATATTCCAAGCAGCTCGCCCTTGGGCCGCGGTCAGAAACCCTCTCGTTTAATCCGCAGACGGGTGAAAGGGAGCGGCGCGGGGGGGTG